AATGTCTGGATCTCCAAGGCAGCCTCAACTGGAAGAAGCCCAGAAGGACCAAGGTGAGACACCAGTGGGTTTGTGGGTGGACACGTTCCTGATGCAATGTGGGAGGCGGCTGCCTCTTAGATTCCCTCTCATTGCCTTCCTCCTATCCTCTTCTTTGTTGTCTCATCCTAGGCAATGGAGAGGACAGGTCTGGTCCTGAAATGCTGGATCCTCCTCAGAATCCTGAGGGAGCCTCCTCGAGCCCCATGGCCATGGCCGCTGCCCCATGGAACCAGTACCATGCGGGCTTCAGCTGCAGTGAAGAACAGTTTTTGTTCTCCTGGCAGACACTGCCAACCGTTGAGTCCTTGATGGGTTATTCCATTAATGTTAAGATGGCTGACTTGCTGTTCTTCCTGTTCACCAAATATCAAAAGAAGGAAATTACTAGCAAGGAAGAAATGCTGCAGTGTATCTTCCAAGGGTGTGAGGAGCAGTTCCCTCAGATCTTTCGTGTCATTTCTGAGTGTATATATCTGGTCTTTGGCATTGATGTGAAGAAAGTCAGCCCCAATAGCCACTGCTACATCCTTATGCCTGCCCTGGGCCTCTCCTATGATGGGATGGTGCCTGGTGTCCAAAGCTATCCCAGGATCTCCATCCTGATAATCATCCTGGGAATCATCTTTTTTGAGGGAAACCGTGCCACAGAGGATATCATTTGGGAAGTGTTGAGTGGCATGGGGGTGTTTCCTGGTGTTGAACACCCCATCTATGGTGAGCCCCGGAAATTTGTCACTGAGGATCTGGTAAACGAGCATTACCTGGAGTATAAGCCTGTGCCTTACACCGATCCTCCTGAATACGAGTTTGTGTGGGGTCCAAGGTCCCTCATTGAAACCACCAAGCTGGATGTCCTGGAATTTTTGGCCAAGGTCAAAGATACCACCCCTAGTGCCTTTAATGAATGGTATGAGGAGGCTGTGAGAGAGGAAGAGGCGAGATACCATATTCCAGATCCTTCTGAATGGCCATAACTAGGGCCAGGGCCAAGATCAGGGCCAGGGCCACATCCAGCAGCATCTCCTGTCCCTTGCAATTTGTCAGCCAGATTGTCCCATCTGTGTTCTAAATGAAACGTGTACCATGCTTGTATTTCTGTCAGTGTGAGTGATTTGGACAGCTCTGATATTCTTTTACGTATTTTTCTTTTAGTGGATTTGATTAACTTCGAATTTTGTTTTGTTTTGTTTTGTTTTGTTTTGTTTTGTTTTGTTTTGTTTTGTTTTTTCCAGAACTGAGGATTGAATTCAGGCCCTTGAGCTTGCCAGGCAAGTGCTCATTCTACTGAGCCGTCTCCCTGGCCCCTTAAGTTCAAATTTAAGTTTAAATGATATTGGCCACTCATGTATATGAGCTTTTCTGTTTTGTAAAACAAAAGCCAAAATCTTGCCTCATGTTTTTGATCTGGAAAAGAATCATTTGTCACTGGAATAAAAGTTCTTGGAAATGTGAAAGAAGGTATCAGTAAACTAGGTGGGGACCATGAGTGGAAAAGTTTGTACCTTATCTTTTAGTTTGTTGTTCTGTAAAGTTTAAAAAAGATGTACAGTATGCGCTTGCCTTCTTCAGACATGCTGGAGAAAGTTAATAAAGATTTCCACTGCTACTTGGTGCATTGACTTTTGCACAGAGCATGTGCTCTTGCTGCCCTGTGTTTGTGGCTTACCTGGGTAAACGTGGCTGAGCAGAACCCACCCTTGCCTGTGGGACAGGGGCAGTGGCCATGGCAGGGAGGAGGGCAGATGTCCTCGAGGATCGGCAGCAAGGAGGGCCCAG